TTGTATTATATACATGTTATGTTCAGGAAAGAAAACCGGCAGTTGTGACTGAAAATGATCCATTAAAGCCTGAAATTCAGGAAAAACAACAGCTATTTGAGGACAAGCGGATGGAGTCCAAAATAGATGCATTTGAGGTTGAAAATAGGAGATTGAAGCGTTAAATTGAAATTGAAGAGCAGGAACGGCAAATGGCGTTCATTTGGAACCTGGATGCCGTTGGGGCTCAAAATAGGAGATTGAAGCATGAACTTGAAGACAATGAACAGCTAATGGAGCACAATATTGAGGCATATTTTGCTGAAAATGGGAGGTTGAAGCGTGAAATTAAAGAAAGGCGAAGTCCAATCTGGATGTATATGTGGCTGAAAATCGGAGATTGAAGGGTGAAATAACAGAAAAGAAACAGCTACTGAAGTTCAGTCTAGAGGCATTTAAGGTCAAAAATTGGATATTGAAACATGAAATTCAAGCGAGAAAAGAACTAATGAAGTCCAGTATAGAGAAAATTAAGGCCAAAATCTGACAGATATGTGATGAAGTCGAACCTCAAGATCCATGGTTGCAAACTTAGTCAGGGGAACTCCCTGAGCTAGTAAATTCATTTAGTAGATTCTGGCTATGTGTTAACAGTAAAAATAGAGTAGATTGTGTGAGACCAAGATCTTTATTGATAGAGAGTGTTTACAATAGAGGGAGAATGATAGTGAAAAATAATCTACCTCCTTAGGTTGATCTTAGAGGTATTTATAGGATGCTTAGATACAATTATTCTAGGAATACAATTTTATTTAATTGGTGTTTGGGTATTCTTATCCTATCAGGATTTATTCTATCCTTATATTGATAGGATTGTCTCTAGATTGTCTACACGTGTCCTAATTATTATAGGACTTACTTTTAGGGTATAACACTATGATTTACCCAGAAAGGAATGAGTTAGAGAGAGAAGCCCTGCCAACTTTGGTACGGACCTCCAGGAGGAAGCACATTCTCGGCTGGGATTTTCCACCGTCTTCCTTCTGCCCCCAATCCCCTTCTCTATTTGCTGTTTTCAAACTTCTGTATCCGGACATACCGCGCCTATGATGTTTTGTTTGCTGGCCTGTTTCGTACTGGGGCTTTCTCTCTGACTTTGTAATCTGCCAGCTGGACTATAAAATTTTGGCAAAACCACACTCAAGCACCCATACTTACACGTGAGCCTTTGAGCTAAAAACGGTACAAATAAACTCTCAAAATTCCTTGAATTATGCAAAATAGCCATCGAAACCTCTTGAAAGAGGCAAATCAGCACTTATCTTTAATGACCCAACACAAGTGACCTCATATGGATTGTTCTTTTCTTTTGTTTGGTTCTATTTTTCTATATGAATGCTAATCTTATCAAAGGACTTTTAAGTGGTAAAAATCTCATTAAAATAATTCATGTGACCTATGAATATTTAATAAAAAAAGGGGGTTCACATGGGTTATTTAACAGAGTTTCTACTTAAGAAGATCGATGTATAGGAAATATTTTTACAAAAATTGTAATTCATATATTATAAAAAAATATATTATTTAAATATATATACATGATTAAACCATAATGACTAAACAACGAGGAGAGTAATTTAGAAAATACAATGATATAAAGATAATTTTTTATATAATTTTTATATATTATTTAATGAATAGATATATTTCATATCATGAGTTTTAAATGAATCAAAAAAATCAATTATTAAATTGATATGTAAAATTGTATTGAAAGATGATACAAAAATGTTATCTCTGAATCATCTTTCATTTATAAATCTTGCTAAAATTTTTGGTAACATTCATAGACAAATCTCATATCGACAAAATACAGAAAAAATGCAAAATATATAGGTCAGCACTTATTAACTCCTATTAATGCATTTTAAAAATGTAATGGTAGATGGATTGAAACCAACACTATCAATAGTGAGTTGGGTTGGTACATATGGTATAAGAGTCATTTTGATTGACATCCCTAGATACTTATTTAACCTTATTGATGTATTTTGAAATCATAAAACTTAATAACTCAGACAAGGTGAGTCAACAAATAAGATCTTAATATTATAAATTAGAGATTCAAATTTAAATTTTGAAATAGATAGGAAAGAATTTGAGAATAAGAGAAGATTATTCTCTCTCATATAACTTATAATAAGATATATATAAAAAAAAAACAGTAAAACTTGAGAAATGAAAGTTAATAGTACCGCTAGTTTGTTGGCTCGTTACGTTTCTATTATGATGAAAAGGGTATTGAACCCTTGTATTTTTGGACTTTATCGACCGCCCATACTTTTTTTTTTTTAAATTTTAATCACCCCTCTTACTTTTCTCGTTGAATGAAATTACTCCTCCCACTTTTTAGTTGAATTAAACCAGCTCAAATCTAATGAATGACATCATTATTCTGTTTGCTCACATAAGCGAACGTTATACCTACAATTATCTATGGGTATTATTATTATTATTTTATGGGGTATGGTTAAATTTTTAATTTGGTCCCATTTTGTCAGTTAAACCATTTTCTATTTTTGGCCGCTGACCCTAAACTTTAGTAAGTGCTCCTAAGTACATAAGTAAATAATTAGAGAATTTTTTTAATATATACTTTTAAAATATTAGTGTCGAGCTTAAAATATTAGTGTCAGCGTATTTTGTTCAACAAAAAATGTGAGATGAGTAATTAAAACCAGGAAAAAGTATGAGGAGTGATAAATATTGATACATGGAAGCGGCAACCCTAAATTAGGAATATTTATTCACATAGAAATAGACTTATGCAAATAAATTTATAAGATAATTATTGAAATTCAGGTCTAAATTAATAAGAAGAAAAGATAACGTGAGCCGAAGATATTAATTTTAAAGAAACAAAAATTCAAGTTTGAATTGAATTAACAGATGAGATTGATGAGACCGTATATAATGGTTAAATCAAAGAAAATGAGACTAACATGGAATGCTTGAAAGCCAAAAAATAATGAATCTAAATTTGAATAATAGAATTTTTTGGATAAATTTTTAAATTTAAAAATAAAAATATTCAAATAATCATAAAAAAATGACATGAATATTAAAAAAA